TAATTTTCAAAGCAATACTGCTTGTCTGTGATTCTTTTTGTCCTTCCTTTTCTATTGTCAGCACTAAAAAAATTATTTCAGTGGCCTGCTTTTCTTTCTTTTCCTTTTCCTTATTGTTTTGGATACCCTATCCCTATCTTCACTTTATTTCCTACCCTTGCCCCTAAATTGAAAAAAAAAATCTGCAAGGAAAATAAAACTCTTTTAACAAATATGCATAGTCAAGCAAAACAAATTCCCACACTGACCTTATCAGAAAATGTATGTCTTATTCTACATCTTGAGTCAATCGTCTCTGTCAGAATGTGGGTACTATGCTTCATCATTAGTTCTCTGGAATTGTGATTGATCACTGTATTGACCAAAGTTAGGAAAACTACTTAGGTAGCTCTGTGTATTGTAGAATAGAAAGGAGAGAGACTGAAAGCTGATAGTCCAATTTCACAGCTATTACAGTAGCTCATGTGAAAAGTGATATGGGAGTGATGTCTGTGTGAGTGGAGAGAAGGGAACAGATGCAAGATATGTGGTAGTAGTAGAATCAACAATTCTTAGAAACATTGGATAATGGGAGATGATTGAGAGAGAAGAATGAGGGATGATATCAGATTTATTAATCTGGATAATTGGAAAGATGATAGTAGTGCATGCAACAAAAATAGGGAAGATTAGAGGAAGAATGGCTTTGGGGAGAAGATAATGAATTCCATTTTGGTCATGTTGAGTTTGAGATACTCATTGGAGGGCCGTTTAGAATGCCCAACAAATAATTGGTGATATGGGACTTGAATTTAGGAGAAAGATGAGAGCTGAATGTGTAGATCTGATTGTCATCTTCATAGAGAAATTGAAAAGATATTGTAGAGGAAGAATTGACAAGATTTGGTGACTGGTTTTGGATATGTGGATGAAGAAGAGCAGAGAGCCAAAGATAGCTTTGAGGTTGCAAACCTTTTGATAGGAAGGATGGTGGTGCTTCCAAATGAAATAGAGAAGATTAGAAGAAGCATAATTTTAGGAAAATTATAATGAATTTTATCTTGAATATGTTGAATTAAGATCTACCTGTTGGTTTTTTTCCCCCTAAATCACGGTTTTGAATCTTACTCATATAAGAACAGGTAAAAAATAGACCTTACCAGATTATAAATTGGTAGAATCTTTTTGAAGAACAATCTTTCAGTGTACTATGAAAGTCAGAGAAATGATGCTTTTGGATTTAATCTCATTGTTGGAAATACACCTGCAGAGTATTATCAAGAACTATACCCAAAGTTTACTCCCCCTTTACCCTACCTGGGCAAGAAACTGTAGGCTTACATCAGTTGGGTTCATTTCTAAGAATCTAAACTCCAAGGGGGTCAGGTTTGCTCGTAGGCCTCTCCCTCACTCCAAGGAAATCCCTAAAACAAAAAGCTTAGATATGGTTCTTCTAGTGTACTATGTGGATATTGGGTATAGGAGAGCTTTTTATTTCTTTCACCATAGAAACAGTGTGAGATGTAAAGGACCCATAGACATGCATAAACTCAGGGAACAAAGAACAACCAAACAGCCTATTGTACTCATTACTCGCTTCTTGTGGAATTGTTAAAAAGATCTTCCCCATTTGCTCCCACACCTGCACGGTCTAAGTGCCACGGGGCGTTAGGGAGGTCCAGATCTGTCTGGCCGTGGCACTTCTTTTGTCCATCAGCTTTGGACAGTACGATGAGACAGTGTTTCTCTTCTCCAAAAAAAGCATCCTGTTGAAGACTTATCTTCTCCCGGTCGGTGGCTACCCTGATTTCCCCAACTAAATGTTATGGTCAACATTTTTATTTTACATCACCTAAATTACCCCCTGCTTGACTTCACCTCCCCATCCCAGAGAACTATCTCATGTAACAATGTTTTAAAGAAGAAAAGGAAGAAGAGAAAAAAAAATCAGCAAAACTAATCAATACATTGAAAAAATCTGAAAATGCACTCAGTGTTCCACAACTGTGGACCTCCCCCCTCTGCAAAGGAATAGGAGGAGGTGTTGTCTTATATCTCTTTGGGGGACCATGTTTGTCTAAGACTGTTAAACTCTTAAACTCAGGAGCTCTCAAGTTCAGAATTATCTATGAGGAAGTGATCCCAGGTTTGAAAATCTCCTCCTCAGGATCCTTAGTCTCTGACCTTTGCTCAGGAAAGCAAACAGAAAGGCAGAAGAAGACTGCTGGACATTCCAGGCTTCCTCAAAAGCATGGCTCCCATTCCCATATGCTTCTACTGTCATTTGCTCTTTCTACCAGGAGAGACACCTCCCCTATACACATGTCTTAGTTTCCAAGTGCAGGGGAGAGGAAGTGTGTAAAAAAACGGTCTCCCTGGTTAATTAGTGGAATTTCCCACTTATAAACATAGGACAGGCATTTTCTCATTAAAGGTCCTTTTTCCTGGGGCTCAGTCCATCAATCCACAGGGGGAACCCTAGTCCTTGGGGATCAGTCAGAGGAGTTTGCTACTGTGTTCTCCCAGCAAGGGCCTATCGTGCTTGTGTCTTAGGCAGAAGCACATGTATAGCTTCTTGCGAGGATCCAAATCAAATTGACTGAGATAGAGACTCAGATCAACTCCACATTACACTACCATGGAGTAAATATTCCTTTATCTGACCATAACCTCTTGTTCTTCCATCTCTCCCTGTGTCTTTCTCCTCCTAAACTTATTCCTTGTCCATGCCACAACTTCTGGTTACTCCACCGCCACCTCCCATTTTCTCAGTTTTTCCTTCCTGTGTTGGCCTTATATGCTTCCCTTCAAAATCTTGACCAGTGCAGCTTTACATTTTCCCTACCTTCTACCCCGACTTCCTTTTGTATTGTTGTTTATTCCTTTCTAAACTCTATGCACTTCCACCATGTGCTTTCTTTGATCATTATATCTAACTGCTTCTGGTAGGACTAGCTCCACTATATTTACAGTCGTTTTCTTTTTTAATTTATTTTTAAAAAATGTTTTCAACATTCACTTCCATAAGCTTTTGAGTTTCAAATTTTCTCCCCCTCTCTCCCCTCCCTCCCCAAGATGATGTGCAATCTGATATAGGCTCTACTTATACATTCCTATTAAACATATTTTTACATTAGTCATGTTGTAAAGAAGAATTAGAACCAATAGGAGGAACCACAAGAAAGAAGAAACAAAACAGAAGGAAAAAAAGAGCAAATAGTATCTTCCATCTGCATTCAAACTCCATAGTTCTTTGTATTTACAGTGTTTTACAAATTTATCTTATCTTATCTCAACTGAGTCCTCATGGAGACCTAGCACTCTTCCCAAATTGACAGTTACATTCTCCTGGGAGGCAGCTGGTGGCTTTGTGGATAGAGCAGGAGTCAGGAAGACTTGAGTTCAAATCTAATCTCAGAAACTCTGATTGCCTGACAAAATGGATCCACTGGATCCACTGAGAATGAAATGGAAAACCGCTCCATTGTCTTTGCCAAGAAAACCCCCAAATGAGATCATGGTGTGAAACTACTGAAGAACCACAAAAATTCTCCATAGTATTTGTTCCAGAACATCTCTTCTTTCCTCAAGCTACCTACTGCACCACCTCTTCATTCCCTCTCAGCAGAGAATACTTGGATCAAGAAAACTGAGACATATTCTCTGTCCTCTGCACCTCACATATCCTCAGTATGATCCCCACTCTCCCCTTTTACTTCAATTTCTAATGAAAAGGTGGCCCTCCTTTCCAAGGCAAATCCCTGCATTTGTGCCATTGATCCACTGCTCTCCCATCTCTAGGAGCTGGCCCCTTTGATCATCTCTTTCTTCTTTTGCTTTTTTAACTTGCCTTTTTAATTTTTTTATTCCCGTATTAACAAACATCAACTAAAATAAATACGTCCATATTCATAGTAGAACAGAAAGAGAATTATAAGTGTGAATCTCTATTATGTACAGCTTGCTTTTCTTTTTACATATATAACTTTTAAAGCTGTCCTTCTTGTCTGTTATTCCTTCTGTTCTCTTCTATACGATTCAAGAAAAAACATTTTAATGACCCACTTTTCTTTTTTCTTTCTCTCTTTTTTTTTTATTGGCAGCCCTATCCCTAAAGTCTCCCTCCCATTAAAAAAAAAAAGAAAACTTTGACAAAAAGAAACTTCAAGGGGACCCAAAAGGAATATGAATTGTATATACAAATGTACATAGTTGTAAAATATATTTAACTGATTTTGTTGATGTTTAGTGTTAATTCTTTGAATAGATAGAACTTAGAATAGATAGATAGCCACTCCCTGGCTTTTGAATAAAAAACTGTCCTGGGTGGTATTTATTTTCCTAGAAGATTTACTAAGTATTATCTTACATAATTAAGGATTTCACTATTGCTAAGGAAGCAAAAAGCCTAGAAAAACAGATGAACATCTCTATATCTCCTCCAGTCCTTGACTGTATAAACTCATTTTTTTTTATGGTGAAGTTCATATTCAGCAATATGGCAGGGAGTGAGAAAAGGACTAGACTTGAAGCCAGAAAATAGGGATAAGAAGGGCAAATACCTTACAGTCAGGATCAGAGGAGATAACATGTAAAAAGCTTTGCATACCTTAAAGCTCTATATAAAGGCTAGTTGTTGTTATTATCATTGTCATTATTAGAGAAACAAACACAATCTATTGCAAAGAGAAAGATACTTATGAAACTTTGAAGCTTTGAGAATTATAGCTTTAAGGAGTTAAGCAGAGATAGAACAGCTGAGCTAGTTCCCATTTGATAAGATTTTGTTTGTCTATATTATATGTCAGCCAACAGCCCTAATGGTTTTTAAATACCGTAAATGTCTTTCTGAGTTTGGGCAGGACTACGTGGTCCATTTGCAGATAATTCAATCTTCCTGGAAATGGGTCAGTTTTCTCATATGGGCTATAACAAGCATACTTGGCAAAAGTTGAAATTAGAGAATAGGCATTGACAATGTAGGTAAATTAGTCATTAAAAAGATGCTATTTACTATTTAGCCAGGTGAAACAGATAAAGAAGATCAAGTGGATTCTACGACTCACGGAATCCCCCAAATGGTAGGCAAGAAACCCCTACGGGATTTTATTGGGCTAGAAGAATGTGACAAGATGACCCGGGAAGCCATGCTAAATTTTAGCTTCTTTGTCACCATTGGAGATATGGATGAAGCTTTCAAATCCATCAAGCTCATCAAAAGGTGAGGCTTATTTTCATTAAAGTTTTGCAAGATAGTATAGATACCTTTTGAGGTCCTGCCATTGAATATTTTCCTTTTCTTTTTAGTCGTGTTGAAAATGATTAACTCTTTTGTAACCATTTCTTCACAATGTGTTTTATGGTTTTGTCACTGTGAAATTCCATTGAGATTAGTAGAATGCCAGGACATGCCTAGTACATTCTGTTGCACAGAAAGGGGGTTCTATTTAAACACATCTGGTGGTAGGAAACAGATGAACAAAGCTCTTTTGACTTTTCAGTGTTCAGATCATCACAGCTTACTTATTTAATTATTTTGATTTATTTAAAAATGTTTTGAATATTTTCTAGCTAAATGTCTTGCAGTTGTCATACACCAATAATATTTAGATCTCTGGTCTAATATACAAATAAATACCAATTCTGATAAATAATAAATAGCAAAACAAAAGTGAAAAGCTAACTAAAAGAATAATATTTGCACTGCACTCCAAAGAAATTCATAAATTTAAGCAGAGGCTCTCTGTAAACAACTTTCTGTCAGTACCCAGAAGAATTTGGAGTTTGTTAGCAGGAGCAGTTGGCAAATCTTCTTATCTGAGAGATGGCAGGTCGTTGTTAATAACAACTAAAGTAGACAGATATGAATTAAATAAAGTCATTCGGAAATGAGACCTAATACCCTCTGCAAGGATAGTTCTGCAGACCATGAAGCACCTTTTGAAATATTACATGAATCATAGTCCTAGGGGACTAGTTTTTCCCGCATTGGCAACACTGACAAGATAGCTTTTCAATTATCTAGGAAAACAATAAGTGACTTAATGGCATGGTGTTGTCCCACCTTTCAATACTTTATTCATTTAATGTACACACAGTGATATTAGATTGTTCCTAACCACATAGCTAATTTTTAACTTTAATGCTCATTATAATAGTTCATATACAATAATATTAACAAAAAATGGTATAATGTCTTAAATATTCTATTTTTTCATTGCAACAAATTTTAGTGCATAATCTTTAATTTAAAAAAACCCAACTTTTCTGGACTTAAGTCTAGCAGAAGTATGACAAGACCTATCAGTGTTTATCCAGGTCCTGATGGGGAGATGTCAAAATAATCATATGCTCTGGTGTACCCATTAGTGTGATAGGGACATAACAGGTGATTGGTAAATATTTTTTATTGATATATATTTTTCTAGGGTATCAGTGGGTTAAAATGGTAGATAAATTGTATTTCTTTTTAAATAAAAAATTCTAGTATAGCCTAAAATATGAGAACCTGCTTGTTCATTTGTTTTTAACAGTAGAACCAAAAAGAAGATCCTGTGTTAAGTAGCCTTGAAAGACATTTCTGCAAGACACATTTTATTTCAGTTGAATGGGAAGGGTGGTGTAGTAGTGGTGGGCATTTCAGAGCCTGTGCCAATCTGGAATAATGGAAGCTCAAATTTCAGAAGTCTTTTATTTGCTCATAACAGAAATAATACTAGGTGTCACAACCTTCATATATTTAGCAAGTTGGTTTTCTTGATCATTGTGTTGACATGTAGTATTAAGGTTTCTTGTACCCACTAATAAATAAGCTGGTGAATAGACTAAAACATTTTGGAAAAAGTGATTGCCATTATTTACTTATCATATCACTGCTGGATTATTATGGGCTACCTAAACATTGGAGCCAACTCATATAACTTAAAATGTATGTACACAAATATAAATAGTTATAAAATATAATTAGTTGGGATTTTTTTGATATTTCAAATTTTTTTTAAAGCAAAATAGGTTAATTTCACCCCATAATCTTCAGACACCAAAACATATGGTCAAAGAGGAACTCAACTTTCATATTCTTTGCAGAAACCATGCTTTGAAAACTCATTTGTATAGAAAATGTAAAAAAGTAGATATCACCCACACTTGTTTCTATCTAGCTTTCTAAAACATTATTTTGACCCTTCTATAATGGGCCCACAGAAATGACAAAATAATACAAGCTCATTTCTTTCTACCCATATAATTTTATGGAGAAGATTAAACTTTAAAAAGATATTTAAGCATGTTCATCTTTTATTTTAACTTAGAAAAATAATTGGGGCATAATATAAGCCAATGACGAGGTTCTATGAGAAAACCTTAACCATTTGATTGTAAATGCAGCTACACTTAATGTATTTCTCTGACATTTTCTAAGTCTTTCTGGGTGTTCAGCATCCCCAAAGTTGAGGCCTTACCAGGACTGAGGTATGACCTTTGTCAGAATAAATTAATCTAAAAACAAAGATGGAGAATAAAGCGGCTTCACTTTGCATATTTCTTTACTTATATCACAAATTTTGGCTTGCTGCTACACTTGAAAAATGCATTCTTGTGAAATTATGTGACATAGTAAAATTTTATCACTGTACAAAAGTAGGGGTAGGAGCCATATAATCTATTTATATATAATATACATATTATTTATGTGTATCATACATATGTATATAGATGTAACCCATAAAATTAATAATCAAAAGCCACTTCACAAGTAGTGAAAATGACCTTGTAAATGTCCATCAATTTCTACCGTATTAAATTATCACATGTATACATAGACAATATCCTGATAGACATCATAGTCACGCCCTCTGCTGACTTTTAGCATGGTGATTCCACATAATCATTTTCTAGCCCACGACGAAATCGAGCAGTTAAGGTGCGACTGATGACAATAACGCGAGGTGCCATACAGTCATCTCTCCTGTGAAGAATATTCCAGATGAGGATGGCAGCTGCTAGGGTGGCCAAAAGACAAGCTGCAATGTTCAGGTAGCAAGACCAGGACAGGTTGGTGTAGGGACCGATTCGGTAAAAAGTCACTAGGCCGATGACCAAAACAAAGCCTGGGGGAAAAAAAGAATTTCCATAAAATATTATTACAAAATTTGGAAAAATTAAAATTCCTGGTTTGGCATGTAAATAAAAATATAAGTTCTCTAACTTTGTTTCCCAAACTTTTATCCTTTTATAATTAATTATGTTGGCATGGCTAGCCTCATGATCTATATTTCCACCCTTATTTCACATTACTCCCCTTTTACATTTCGGTCAAATGGGCTTGTAGTGTTCCTTAAACTTAATGTCCCATCTCTTGTGCCTCTTTGCTTTTACATAAGCCATTCTCCATTCAGTTTCATGGAAGTCTATAAAGCATTCTAAAGTTTTCAAAATGCTTTACTTCTCTTTTGATCCTCACAGCAACCCAATGAGGAAACTGATGATAAGGTTAAGTGATTTACCCATAATTACACAGCTAGGAAATATCAGAGGCACAATTCAAACCCAAGCCTTCCTGACTTCAAGTATAGAGCTCTCTCCAATAAATGTCACTGCCTCTCAGTTGTTAAGTATTTCTTATGTATGAGGAAGGCGCCATGCTAGGCTCTGAGGATATAAAGGCAAAAATGAAGCATTCCTTGCCTTCAGAGAGCTTCCTTTATTCTAAAGGGATGGAACTTGTACACAGCTAAGTAGTTGCACAATATGTACAGGTCTTCTCTCTACTCCTAGGTAGTCTTTTTTTGTTTTTGCTTTTTTTCGTGAGGCAATCAGGGTTAAGTGACTTGCCTAGGGTCACACAGCTAGTAAGTGTCAAGTGACTGAGGTCACATTTGAACTCAGGTCCTCCTGACTCCAAGGCAGGAACTTTATCTACTGCTTCACCTAGCTGCCCCTTACTCCTAGGTAATCTTTATTTTCCTCCAGAGTCTAACTTGGGCTGGGAATCCCCTCAGTTGTGAGGGTTCTCTCTCTCTCTTTGTCTCCTTCTCTCTCTCTCTCTTTCTCTCTCCCTTTCTCTCTCCCTTTCTCTCTCTTTCTCTCTCTCTGTCTCTCTCTTCAGATTGCCTAGTGTTTAGCTGGTTACTTATCAGTGTACTTACAGCCCACCTTTCCAGCTTTCTTTCACATTTCTCCCCTTCCATATTTCAGCCTAACTAGGCTTGTAGTTGTTCCAGTTGTTAAACTTAACATCTCAACTCTTACTTTTCTCTGTCTCTGCAAAAGCCATTTCACCCAATAGTATGCAGGCTATTTTAATATAGGAACCATTTATTTTTGTATTTGTATCGCCACTCAATACCTTGCACACAGTAGGTTCTTAATAATTGCTTGTTGAATTTTATTGAAATTTTGTGCAGCCTTCTATTAGATCTTTAACCTGCAAATATGTCTTGATTTTTAAAGGGTTTCTGGAAAGATGGGTTTGAGGGCATGGCTAGATCCGCACACACTATGTAAATCATAGACCAAGCCATGAGAAACATCTGTCCTTCTTACAGCTTGTGCTGATGCTGTTAATAATGCTTGTTAAATGGAGTTGAATTGAGACATTTTTAGACATCGCATTTAGAGGACTGGGGGTGAGAGAAATGTGCTACAGGCATTCCAATTTTCTAGTTTTGGGTGACTATTTCTGCTCTCTCACATAAATAAAAACATGCCACTAAAGTACCTCCCCTGTCTTCTAACTCTTCCCGTTCTTCCTTTTCCCTTCTTCCTCTTCCTAAAGATTCTAGGAGCTGGTGGTTTCCCTTCTTCTAGCCTTTTCCCTCTTTCTTTTTCTTCTCCATTTTACCCCCCTCGCTGTGGTTTCTGTGTTCCTGTCCTGGAGCCTTCTAAATATAAAAAAGAACTTTCTCTGGCCTAGGAAGGAATAATAAGGATGCGTAAGTCCACAGTGAGTAGCAATATATACTGAATGTGAAGGATAACCAAACACGCTTTTTAAAAGAGCCATATTCCTGTCCATAGGAAGACCATAGGCTGCATCAATAGCAAGTGTTAAGGCTGGATTTGAACCAAGGTACTTTGTACTTTCCACTTCAACAATAATGATACTAATAATAGTTGACATTTATGCAGTGCTTTGAGATTTACAAAGCATTTCATATATATTATCTCATTTAAGCAACTACCTTGCAAGGTGGAAACTACAGATTTTGTTATCCCTATTTT